AGTTTTGCTAAGATAAATCTAGACGCTCTCACCCCTCACTGTAGCATTAGTTCAGAACTGAGATCCAAACCACAAGTCCATTCATGACTACTCAAAAGATGTTGATGGCAGGTTTTGATGCTTTTGTTGCCTGCAATCTCAGTCACCAGAGTAATTTTGCTCAGTATAGCTTAAAGCAGCGTGTACTATATATTTAAATCTTGTTACCAAATTCAAAGCTCAGAGGTATTTGTCAGTTTCTGCTTCAGTTCAGATCCATGCTGTTGCAGAAAATTATGTCCTCAGCTCCTCAGCCAGAGTGAGGCAGCACTACACTCCATTTGATGACTGCCATACTAAACCCAATTTATGCTCTTCTGAATCTAAACATAACAGAGTCCACCTGGTCCTTCCCTTTAGACCAAGAGTTCACAAACTAGCAATCATGTTTCTGGAAGTGTGACTGCAAAAGTTGTAATGAATTTGGACACAAAGATAATTTCAGAACTGCTGTCTAAGTTACCAGTTTACAAGAAATATAAAAAATGTGGATATAAGCACAATTAAGATGGCTCTAAATTCCTTAAAGACAGTCCTCTTACTGCAGAGGGAATGTTATCCATTCAACGCATTGTTTTCTCTGCATTGCCAGTGTATATGACACCAAATACTCCATTGTGTAGACACCTTTACTTGTTGGAAGTGTTTTTGAGAAAAGAGTGGAAGTTGTTCCCAGCTGTAATTTATATATAAAAATTTTAAGGAAATCAAAACCAAAAAGCAAATAAACACCAAGAACAACCGCAACCAGCCAAGCAATCCCAAACCTCAACCCAATATGCTTTTCATTCAAAATGAAAATACAAGATTTTCATGTCACAGAGCCTCTGGTGCACCACCTTCTGTCAAAAGCAGGTTGGGAAAAAGACTTGAAAATGCTTCATACTTTTTTCAGTATACCATACTGCAATACAATTGTACGTTTTTACTGTATCTGCCCTCTGAATATTTGGACCTTTCCCCTTATAGTAATTGCCTTTTTATTTCCTTGTAGTTTAGCTGTACTTTGGCACTGGACAGAAATTATCTTATACTTTCATGCTGATCTTTCTTTTATAAGGGTTTCAGAAAAGAGGCAAATTAACAACGCTGATAAACTATTACAGAATATTTTACTTTGTCTCCTATAGAAAAAGCTGTAGAAACAGGCATACAATGATGACTTTTTCTCTCCTAACTTTGTATTTAGTTCATTGCCTGCCTTGACAGCTTAAGAAATGTGCTTGCCAATTTTCTTTTCCCCAATAATATCTTTAAAACAAGCTAGAACAGACTCTTTTTCATTTGTGTATAGGTTTTGGCCATAGTCCAGGAAAGCACTCAGGCATATTTTCAGATCAAGCATATAAACATCTGAGCAAAGATCAATGCATAGGTAAGTGTTGTGAAAAGCATTAGGTAAACTCAAAATCTGAATTGAATAATCCTGCAGTAAGTATATCCAGAAAGTTAACAACTTTTGTTGTCATCCTCCCTGTTCCTTCAAGGGAAAGGCATAGCTAAAGCTGGTGTCATAAAAAGGCTGTTGCTGTAAAGAGAGCCAAAAAAGTGGATCAGTATGAAAGGGCGAATGATGCCAGAGTACTACCTGCCAGGTTTTTGCTGGTCCAGTGAAGATAACCAAGCTGAGATCAACTACGTAACAAAGATTTGCAGATTCTTCCTCTTAAGAAGGAACAATTCCTACCGTTTCTGTCTGACTTTTTTCTCATGTTGTAATACACTTTAGGCACAACAAATTCTACAGTTTCTGAATACCCATGACTTCAATTTTTTTTTTTACAGAGATGAAGTCCATATATCCTTAATCTTATGAATATTCCAAAGTATTTCCAAAGTATTCCACACCAGGGTTCTACTGGGTGTCCACATCCACCTGTTAGCAGCAGCCCATGAGAGAAGACCAGGGGCTGTCTGGTGTCAGGCTGTCTGGTCATTTTCAGTCCAGTCCAGTTGGCTTTGCAGTAGCCCCATCACAACCACAGAGGTGCCCATCAGTAATGCTGGTGACACCTCTGGGAAAACAGAACTGGGAGAAGGAAGAAATGCTCGATAGGCACAGGAGTGAAGGAAAAAATGTGAAAGGAACATTCCTGCAGCTCCAGGATCACAGAAGGAGGAGAAAGTGGTGTTTCAGTTCTCCTGAGACCTATAGAAGAGAGTGTGTTGGAGCACAGTCCATGCAGCCCACCACCAGAAGCACACCAGGACCAAGCCATGTAGTGCAGTCAACGTGCCCAAGGGATGGGATGCCATCCAAACAGAACTAGACAGGCTGAGCAGTGGGCCCAGGAGAATCTCATGAGGTTCAGTAGGTCCAATTGGAAAGTCCTGCACCAGGGCCATGGCAACCCCCACTATCAATACAAGCTGGGGGATGAAAGGATAGAGCACAGCCCTGCTCTTTAGATGGCTCTGTTGTGATAGGACAGGGGTAAAAACTTCAAACTAAAAGAGGGCTGATTTAGCCTGGGTTTGAGTTTACATTGTCCTTATTTACAATAAGGATAGTGGCACAGGCTTCCCAGAGAGGTGGTGTGTCTTATCCCTGCAAACAGCCAAGGTCAGGTTGGATTAAGCTCTGAGCACTGATGGAGCTGTGGGTGTCCCTGTTCATTGCAGAGGAGTTGGAATAGATGATCTTTAAGGGTCCCTCCCAACTCAAATGATTCTATGATTGTATCACAGGAGGTAAATTGAATAATCTTTTAGTGGTTCATACACTATTTATACTGACTTCAATTGCAGGCTTAGATGGGTGTAAATAGGAATCTCACCTTGACAATGATATATTATCAAAAATATTCAGAAACTATACTCAAGCTGCGTAGAGATCAAAGGTTTTAAATGTTTGTGATTTTTGAAGAGAAGGGAAACTTATGCTAATACCTTCAAGGGAGATTTTTGGTGACCAAACCAAGTCTGTTTTTGTGACTGGCTAGAGACAAGTCATTGTTTTGAGAGGAGGGCTCTTTACATAATACTGGAGAATGTCTGAGTACAGCAAGAATAACTTTGGGTGTAGAAATAGGAGCTCATGGAGAAGCTAGCACTCTGAATGTACTTTAGCTAACCTGGATGAAAAATCTCATAGAAAACTTGTTAGGATAATTGTTTTAATTTTCCAGCACTGCAAGATTTTGCAGGTGATGATGCAGTAATTACTGCTCAAAAAGCATGATAAGAAACAGCATAGCTCAAAATTACTTCATTGTTCCAATAGCTGATTTGAGAATGGAAAATACTCCCAGTACTATTATAAACAGCAGAGACATTGGCAAACTTTGCAGGAGAGCTGTTATTGTATGGGGCCTTGTGCAACCCAATCTTCAGGGTAGCAACCCTGACTATGGCAGGGGGGTTGGAACTAGATGATCTTTAAGATCCCTTCCAACCCAAGCCAATCTATGATTTCAATGATTCCTTGCTGCTTACCAAATTTAAAACTCTGTAAGAAGAGAAAATTTCAACTAAAGCACTGTGAAGTGCATCATGATTACCTGTGAAAAGCATAAGATATTAGGTACATTTTATCAGCTGCTGCTGAAAGTAACTTGCAGAATAACATCATCTACATATATGAGATGAATGTACCGTTATAAGAATGGAATTTTAAAAATACAAATGAAAATTGAACAACTTTTGTTTTGCATTTCTATGGAAACAGTATTTGAAAGACTAGGATGTAGTGAGCATCATTACATACTGCTACCTTCACTTCCTTATAGTATTTAAACACTAGATGGGTGTGTTAATTATGAGATATTGGAAGAACTGAAAGATTTCAATCTACACAGGTTGTTTAGCTTGATGGCAGGTTTCTGTTATGTATAGTTAAAATGCAGTCCTTAGGATATACTTACAATTGAAGCTGATTACGAGTTAGTCAGTGAACTTTCTATGCAGCGTATTAGCCTGATGCGTTTTGTCAGAAATTGACTTACAGAAAGTGAATGATGAAACAGAACAATTCTTCTCTGATACAGAACAAAATTCAGAACTAGTAAGCTTACTTCAAGAATCCCTAAGACAGGATCTACCAACAAATGTGTGCCTTATGTGATTTGGAAAAAGTAGAACCTGAGTACCACTTACAACTAAAGCAATCTTCTGTCTGAACTAGTAGCCACTTCTGCCATGCTAATTGCTCTATTTAAAAGCTTCAGTTTTTTGGGTTACTACTAATATGAAAGAAATTTGGGAATAATTTAATAATCTTATTTTGTTGAGGTCATGAAAAATGCATATTTCCATACTATCTCTTTTTTTCCCCCCCATTTGTGAGCACAAAATACATTAAATAATTTCCAAGTTAGAAACAGTTAACATTGTAAGTACAATTATTGCTCTGTGGGAGCACTCCACAGATCAGCAGAATCCCCTCTCCTTCAGTTACGCTGTCATAATACTATGAGGTGGTATTAAAGACCTACAGGGAATGTGTGTGCAAACACAAAATAAGCCAGAATTCTTTAACTAAAAAAACGTCCAGCCTCACTAGGATCAAAGTGTGACAAGTATAAGAGATAATAGCAGGCGACGGGAATGAAGGATTAAGGCAGCGATAAGATCCTTCGGTTATATTTATCAGCAGTGTACATAAGTGGATGATGGAGCCACAGTCTATTTAAAACCAAAGCAGACTGGACGCTGCTCAATCGCATCACATCACACAGAGCACTCTGCGGGGTCCCACTGTCTCTCACTAACAGGTGCTATAATCTTTTAGGTTTCCAGATAAATCCTTACCTGCATTCTATATAGGTCTTTAGCTCCACTTGTGACAAATGCCAATAAGTGTTAGTATCTACCTTCAGTAGGGGTTGTACCTAACACCTGCAGGGTTCACTGATCCCATACATACCTTACAGCATAATCATAGAGCTAAATGAGGCCATCAGAACCTCTGTGTTTTTTGTGAATAACTCGTTTTTGGGTGTGTTCACTCATGAGAAGCAGAAAAAACAGAAACCGACCACGGAAAAATTACTCACAAAGCATGACAGTGATGGAAGGCTACCTAGAGAATGAAACATGACACCAAAGGCAGCTTAGCGCTATTAATACTATTAGTATGAGAATGCACTCTCACTTTTTAAGCTTACATCTTTATTTTCTAATTTATTTTAGTACCTTCTTACATTTCTGAGGATCAGAGGTAACATATATTTAACAGAAACTGAGATCAGTGAAACAGGAAAACTGGGAGGACCTTTCTCTGTTTCAAAAGTCCAACAACTGCCAAGGCATCGCGTCTTACTTCTCCAGTCCCAGAAGTGGCTTTGGAGGTGGCCCTAGCAGGCAGTTAGGACCTGGTCAGTCACTCTCTCTGTCTCCTACAGTGGGATGGAGGAGAGAATCAGACCGAAAATGAGAAAAATCATGGGTTGGTATAAAGAAAGTTTAAGAAGTGAAACACAACAAAACAAACAGAAAACAAGTGATGCAATCAGGCAGTCAATCGCTCACCACCTCCCAAGAGCAAACGTGTCCAACCAACCTATGAGCAATGGCTACTTTGGAAAAACTTGCCTCCCCTGCCTTCATCACTGAGCATGATGTGAAATGATATGGAATATCACTCTGATCAGTTTGGGTCATCTGTGGCCTTTCTCAACCTCCTGCCCACCAGCAAGGCCTCTAGCTTTCTTGCTGCAAGGGACAGCATGAGAAACAGAGGTCTTAAAGTTGCTCAAGCATTGCTCAACAATAGATGTGTTGTCAGTAATGTTTTAGTGACAAATCTAAAACAGCACTGTATGGGTTGCTGTGAAGAAAATTAACTCCATTCCAACCAGAACAAGTAAATAAGTTTACAGGATTCTGAATATTCTTAAGCAATATGTATGAATATTCTATGAGAGTAAACGACATGTCAGGGTATTTTCCAATCACAATATTCAGTGTAAGGCCACTTTTTTAGAGAGTAGCTTGTTTTGAAGGTGTCATAGTAGAGCTTCCTTTGCTAACTTTCACAACATTTTTTTTCCTATCGTAGAAAAAAAAGTCATGATTGAGAAATCTTTCTAATTTGGGAAACAAAACAAATTAAATACACTTGTCCTTTTTTTAAATTATACAGGGTTGTTTATTATTGTAATTATACAAAATTGGTTAGAAATAAAAAAAAATTATGATTTCTTCATGTACTCATAACTGGGTTTTTTTGCTATTTATGCAATTCTTTACATTAGTAAGTCAATAACTCTGACTACTGAGTTTGAAAAAAAAAAATCATGCTACTGCTGTTTCTTAAGAGTAGACAATGATCAGACTATAACTGTAAAGTGCATCTCTAATGAGCAGATTGGTTAACTCCATATTGACCAAATTCATATTAACACATACCAGCTGTCAGCTACAGAATTTAGTCAGCCTTTAACAGCATTTATTGTCTCAAAAAAAAAAAAAAAAGAAAAAAAAAAGTAACTGACAAATACTTCTTGTGACAACACCAAATTGTCCAACAAATTCCAGTAGGTGGTAGAGAAGATCTACTGCTTCTAGACAGCCCAAACAATGGCTAATGAGAACTTCACCTTAGGGTTGCTTTCTTGTTTTGTTATTTTACCTAGCCATGCAAGTGCACAGCTGGGACACTGAGATTATCCTATGTGCATGTGCATGTTTTCTCAGTGTTGCTCTTCACACCTTCACCTGAAACCACAAGGAAACAGATTCTGATTTCCTTGAGTTCATAATAGGAACATAACAATGTTCTGTTGTGTAAGAGATTTCTGATATAAGGCAATATTATCTTAAAGGTTGAAAAAAGCCAAGATGGACAACTCAAAACTGGATACATAACATTTTCTAAATGAGATCCTAAGATTTGATTTGCATTCTCGACAATCACATCTGAAGAAATGCAATTGCAATTATGCTACTATCGTAAAGGTTTTTGTACCACCTTACATATATGAATTGCTGCTGCCATGTGATTTGGCAAAACACATACTGAAGAACTAAAACATAATTTCATTCTTCTTTGATGAAAGTTTTAAGCTCATGCTTCAAACCAAGCAGATTTTAGAGTGCTTCACAAAATGCATTTGGGCTTTGTGCTCCACTGCTTTGACAAATGGAGAACATAATCAAACAAATGAAGTAAGAGACATCTTTTTTACTGCCGTCCTTCCTTTGTGACTGAGAAAAGAACCTGAATTCTTTCCAGTATTTATCCTCTACAACTGTGGAAGAATTCTAGAAGGGTGATGTCTGCCGCTGACAAAAACATACCGATGGTGCTCTGCAACACCCAAACTCTTGCAGGACAGGAACTGTTGAAAAAAAAAAAAAAAGTAAATTGAATTCATCCATCCAAATTCTTTATGCTTTTTCTGTCTCATTAGCTTAATGGCCCAAACAAATGACAAATGCTTGTAATACTGCTATATTTTAAGTGTTAAAAAGTGGAAACACATTGTTCAAGAAACTGCACTGTTCTTGTTCATTGTCATCAGTGGCCCATGTATTTTGATTCTTATGAGGTAATGACATAATAACAAAGATTATTTTCAAGTCTTACTGCGGATCTTTTGCTCAGCTTATTTCTAAGGGCGCTAACTACATCTGCTGAGATAGTGCACCAAATGTTATTCAGGGAATGACTATAAATTTGAAGTAATATCTGTAAAATAATCTATTTTCCAAATGCAAATTGCTTTCTCTGAATGCCCTTTTCTTCCCAGCATAACTACCCTGTAAAACTCCACTTTTCTAGTACGTCATTCCTTTACACTGCAAAGCACAAACAGAGAATTCAGTGGTGTCTGTCTTCCCCTTTTCAGTCCATGAAAAATTTCTTTAATACACCTTGGCAAATATATATTCTCCTTCTGCAAACATTCATAAAGAAGAAGAACCCAGATTTTAATCAGTATCTCTTACTGGTTGAAGACAGAATTGTTTGTGCTATAACTCATAGCGACCATCTTTCGTGCAACGGTTCAGATGTAACAGAACTTTGTTTGACTCCATCACCCTTCCAAAAACCCATCTTGTCTGGAAGTGGTCTTTTATATGCACCACAGAAAATGAACTGAAGAGTCTTTTATTCATGTTAACACTTCTGTCTTCCTTTATTAACCCCAGCCTATCTGGGAGAGTGATTATTTTGTGTGTTAATACCTTGCCTAGTCCAAAAGGGACTCGATTCTGACCATGCAGAAACAACATAACAACACCAACAAGATTTTATCTATGTCTGTGTGACAATGCTAGGCTCAGGCAGGGAGAGGAGCTGAAGAGAAGATGCATGACTTCTACATTTAGATATAAAAAATTAAAAGAACTACTCTGTTTCTTTGCAAATCTATTGAAGTGTTAGGCTACTGCTTCTCACAGTGCTTGTAAAGTCAGTGCTTGTGGTATGCTGTCCTCTCTTTCATTTCCAATATATCAACTACTGTTCCAATATATCAACTATATCTCATACAGTAGGACATTACTTCTGGTACTGAAGTGTGGACTAACACATTCGCTGAGAAGAAATTTTCCACAAGAGAACAAGGCATTTGATGTATAAGACTCTTCACCACGGTGATTTAATGGGATTTAAAACACAGCTCCTCCTTTACTCTTTTCTCTACAGTTATCTTTTCATTTTCTTGAAAGTAACACAGTTTTCAGTGATTTTTAAAAGTCTACTATCAATAAAGAGTGACTACATTAATATATCAGGTTACTCAGAAATACCAACCTCATAAGGTTGCCTACAAAATCAAACAGACAAAATACACCTTAATTAAAATTTTCTATACAAACAGAAAATTTTGTAGTGTTCTACATAGCATAGCTAATAGCAACTGTGAAGATGTGACAGAAAATAGACTTAAATTTTCCAAGAACAAGATGTAGCTAGGCTGCTAATCCCTAGAAAAGTTCATGTTCCCACATCCAAAGTGCTGTTTAACCCTTCCAGATGTGTGTGTCTAGCTAATTCTAGTGAGCTCGCATTAACTTACAGGCCTTGCAGTTAATATCTTCTGAAAGGAGTGGAGAAACATCACTGGTCTTCATCACTGGTCACATCTCAGAAGACTGGTGTCTGAATGATACTTATAACCTGAAAAAAAAACAAACCAACACTTTTTGTCCTTTACTGCCAAATGACAGGGTAAATGTAAGACATAAGAAGTCGATGGGCCCCAATGGGATTCATTCCAACGTACTGAAAGAACTGGCTCACGTCATCACAAAACTTCTCTCAATTGTTTTTCAATGGTATTGGGAAACTGGAGAGACCCCCATTGACTGGAAGCTGTCAAACATCTCAGTTTTCAAGTAGAGCAAGAAAGAAGACTCTAGAAGTAACAGACACTCTTCAGTGGCTGATAAAATGATGGAGAAGACTATTCTAGGGGGTACTAAAAAACACTTGAAAAGCAATGTATGTAGTCCCTGGTCATAGCTAACATGAGTTGATGAGGGGAAAGTTCTCATTAACTAATTTTTTTCCTCCTATGACAACATTATCCATGTACTGGATAAAGGGAAGCCAGTTGATGTAGTCTTTTTGTATTTTAGCAAAACTTTGGATACTTTTTATCACAGTACCCTTCTGGGTCAAATGTCCAGCGTACACCTAGATACACACATGAGCTAATGCATGAATAATCAGTCAGGCTCAAGGGGTTACAGTAAGTGGGGTTACACCAGACTGGTGGCCAGCCACTACTGGAGCTCCATAGGACTGCATTTTAAGGCCAGTCCTCTTTGATGTTTTAATACATGATGTGAATGCAGGACTAGAAAGCATACTAAATAAATTTATTGACTGAGAGTACCTGCTAACTCCCTTGAGGGTAGAGAGGCCTTCCAGAGGGATCTTGATAAATTAGAGGGCTGGGCTATCACCAACCATATGACATTTGAGCATGTTGTGGATTCTGCATCTGGAATGAGGAAAGACATAGATTTAGTTAGTTTCCTAGATATACGGAAACCACGGGACAAGAGGCTGGAGGGCAGCCCTGCAGAAAGGGTTTTGGGAGTTCTGATTGACTGTAAGCTGAATACTAATCAATAGTGTGTGCTGGCAGCCCAAAGGGCCAAACACACCCTGGGGTGCACCAGGCCCAGTGCTGCCCACTCTGCTCTGCCTGGTGTGGTCTCACCTGGAGCACCAGGTTGGGCACCAGATACAAAAACAACATAAAGCTATTAGTGTCCAAAGGAGGGCTATGGAGATGGGGAAGTGTTCTGAGGGCAAGGCGTGTGAGGAGGGGCTGAGGTCCCTTGGTTGGCTCAACAGAGCAGAGGGGGCTGAGGGGAGGCATCATGGAGGCTGGAGCTCCCACAGGGAATGGACAGGGACAACTCTACCAGACATATGGTTTAATTTTTAAATACTTACGTGTGAAGACAGCAGTTGAACTCAGTGATCCTTGCAGATCCCTTCTAGCTCAGGATATTCCATGATTCTAAGTAAGTACACAGTCACTTCTCTGTATTTCTCTGATTCATTTTCCCCTCCAGAAATCAATTATAAAAGTTCCAATTTATTCCCTACATGTGAAATGCTGGTAAATTCCAAAAATAAACTCCTCTGCAAGAAAAGAAAAAGTCTCTGGCTGTAATTCCATTCAAATGAATCATATCTCCATTTAAGTAAAAGCATATAGGTCGAAATATGTTTATGAAGCAAAATTCTAAACACAGCACATTTGTTTCTATACTGAGCAAACACAGGACTTATTTAGATAAGTAGTTCAATTTGTGGGTGCACTCAAATAGCAACAAAAAATAAAACCCGGGAATATGTGACACATTGTTTTCAAAGCAAAGTACAAACACTTGGACATAGGCAATTAAGCATTTGCTATGTTTTCTAGATGAATATGTAAATTTGACATTCAAATCAATGTCTAAAAATAATCTCACCCATTCAAAAACCACCACGATCATAAGGAGTGCAAAGTGTGAGTCTTTTTGCTTTAATTACTTTCCCGTAATATCAGCTAAGGGCAAGGCACTTCAGTGGGTTATCATTTTTCTCCTCCCAACTGTTTCAAAAGTCAAGTAGAGTTTCTCTTGACAAAACAAGTAGAAAATGGAATTTTTAGATGGAGAATTTACAGGAGACCAGCATGCAGAGAATCCATTATAGCTAGGAGGAAGAAGCTACTGTAAGAAGATGACAGCATTGTTTGCATAATACTTTTTTCCTGTTGCAAATTAACAGTAACTGCTGAACTGGTTTAATAAATTGCATGCATTGTCAGTAGCTAAAAAGAAACATGTAACCAGTTCTGGAAAAAAAGAGAGTGAAAAATATGAAGTAAAAAAGTGTTATGGGATATGCTATCAAGATGTGTATTTACCAATACACAGACACACCACTACTTAATGTTGATTTACAAGAAAAAGGAATCTGATGACCTCTAATTCACTGCCACTTGGCAGAGGTAATGCATCTCTATCTCACGCAATGATGTGCAGCTCCTTAGGTGAAACTAGGCTCCAAGTTTGGATTTTGCACTGCCAGTTCATGGTTCTTGCCCCATTCAAATACAGTTAGTGCCATGGTTCTACTGTTTGCAATTTCAGCATTCTGACCTATGGTGAGATTTTGTAATATTTTATTACTATCATTGAACAAAAAGCAACAAAGTCCTCCACATGACTTCAAGTCTGTTTCAGCACCATTTCAAGATCTAGAACAGAACTGTGGTGGCAATTAGATATTGGAATGGACATCAGTGGAAGATTTATGTTGTTACTGCAAGATAGTATTCTTTTAGCTTTTAGGTACTTAACAAATATACACAAGTGAATAATATCAGAATATCCTTATTAGATTTTAAGCAGGAAAAGGGCCAGAAGAAGTGATATGAGTTAAGGAAACATGACTGTACTGCTCTAGATTAACAGGAGGGGAAATAATGCATACTGAAATGATCAGAATGTGTCCACTGTGCATCTAGGTGCTATGAAATGAAAGCTAAACTTAACTATGAATGGCCTGTGCCAAAGTCCAGTAAAGTCAATCTTCTCTTTTTTAGAAGGGATAGAATTGGTCAGACTCAAAATCAAATTCTCCTTCTTTGATTTAAACTGCTTTCATTGTGAAATGACTGCAGAACTAATTCAGTCTAGGACATCATTACAGCTGAAGTGAAAACTAGAAAGAGGAGCAGAAAAACATTAGCACATCAGCAAATCTCTTTATATATGTGTGTGTGTATTCATATATATGTGCAGGTAATATATGAGGATCCACCAGATCTTACTAGCATTTGCAGTAGCAAACACTGTCATGAAGTTACTGCTGCCTCCACACACCCCAGCATGTTGATCTATCCCACTTGTGCTGTGTCTGTCTTCTGTTTTCTCTGTGATTTTATCAGTTATAGAAAATGAACAGGACTATGACTGAGTACCTTGAATCCCAAAGTCTATCTAATAGTCATTGCAGGCTTTGATGTGCAGCAGTCTTTGTGAAGAAACACTTACCTTTACATAAACAGGCTGACCTTTCTAACTGGCATTTTGTCAGGACTGGCTGAAGGTGGAGGGGGGAAAGAAGAGGGGGAGAGCAGTCTGTACTACTTGTTGCTGCAAGAGAAAACATACTCCAAGGCAACGAGGCAAGATGGTATGCTTTTCATTTTTATAACTGCATAATGAATCATGCACATGCCTACATATTTAACAGCTACTACACTTGAAATGGGCACTTCTTTTTTCTCCACTATCAATAACATCTTTCCTCTACTCCTGTTTTCCCCTCCTCCCTGAAGAAAATAAGAAAGCAAAGCAGGGTAAGTCATTACTAAGAGAAAATGACTCCACAGTTCTTTAGTTTAAAAATAACTTAAAGGTGCTGGTGGGGGTGGGGTGTGTGTGTGTGGGGGGGGGGGGGTAAAACAATGTGATGCAATTGGGCTTCTGCAACATCTCACAAAAAGATTTTGGAAGCATAAAACTGCCAGGCTGAACACATGCATACAAACATTTCACCCCAGTGCACAGTGAGATGCATGAGAGAAGACAAAAGCCTTCTTCATCAAGAAGGTCAACAGAAATAAGAGTCTTGTGAAGAGTGCATGTCACACAATGGGCAAGTGCTGCTGTCATGCTGTCTGCCATCCCATCTTGCTCAACGTATACATCACATGGCCTATGTAATCACTTTGCTTACTGATCTTGGGAGGCACAGTGCGAACATGACCAGCTTACCCTGCTCTCATGTTGGGATGCCAAAGCCCCTTGTTGATCTGCAGCCTGTTCCCTGTCAGATTTCGATTTATTAACACCAAGCTCTCAGGCTAATCGTACCTATGGAAAGAGGTGTTTATTAGCGATAAACACTTCTGCTTACAGCGCATATATGCATGCGAGTGACAGAGCCAGAGAGGTTGCAAGGAGGATCATGCTCCACGAACGCTGACGCTGCTTCCCCTCCCACACATATCCCTTGAAATTCAGCACACATTCTGGAGCCACTATGTGAGGAAAAGGGAGATTTTTTCCACCAAGCCAGATCGTGATTTCCATACAGAGAGCCGAGAAGCGCCAAGAAAGGGGGGAGCGAATAGGGATGCTTCGTTAGGCAGGGCGGGGGAGGGGGGGTCTCGAACGCCCAGCAGGAACGCTGCTCAGCCCTACCCTCCGCCACCGGACAACAGCTTTCTGCCGCGATGTCCGCCCTTCCGAGGCGCTCCGAGACACCGCTCCGCCTCGCCCGGCTCCGCCAAAGGGCTGCGGGCTGCGGGCAGCAGACGGGAGCCGGCGGGGAGAGGTGGCTGCGGGGGGGACTGTCAGCGTGAAGGAGGGAAAAAAAAAAAGCACAAACCCAACAAGCCGACACCGAAACCAAAGAGATCTGAGACAAAGGCTTCTCCCAGGACAGGGGAGAGGCAGAAGGCAGGGCTCCTCTTACCGCTCGGTACCGCCGCCGCGGCTCGCTGGATGGCGGCTGTGGGAGGAGGAGGAGGAGCGGCCGCCGCGCCGCCCAGCAGCCGACCCGGAGCTGCCCTCCGTCCTGCCCCGGCCCTACCGGCTGCTCGCGTCCCGCAGCGAGGGGCTCCGTGCGGCTGCCCGCAGCCTCTCCGCCCTCCTGGAGAGGATCGGTGACGCCGGCAGCCCCTCCACCGGAGCTCCGCCGAGCCGCCCCGGCCCTTCCCAGCCTCCCGTTGCTGGCTCGGTCTGGGCTGTGTTGGAGCAGGCTCGGCGCAGCCCCTCTGTTCCAGCCCGCTGTGCACATCCCGCCGTTCGTTATTCTTTCCTTGAGGAGCACCGCCATCACCGCACACACACACAAACACACACAAAAGGAAAAAAAAAAAAAAAAAGGAAAACCGACCCAACCAAAGCCCCGCAAACAAACAGGCAACAAAATAAATCTTAACCCCTCCCTGCAACTCCTCATGCTATTCGGATTTCCTACCCTCTCTCCTCCTCCGCCCCTCCACTCCACCCCCCCACCAGTTTCTCTGGGCCCCGTGCCTCCCCCCGCACACACACACGCACGGTGTGGATGGGTGTTGTACTTGCTGCTGTGCCACACGGAACTGCTGATGGTTTCCAAAGTCCCACCACCACCATGCCCATCCCTCCTTTAGCCTGAAGCCTGAGATATGGACTGTACGTTTGGATTCGGGATGCATTTTGCTCACAGCCGCTTCGCTTCCTGAAATGTCACCCGGTGAGTAGGTTTTATTTCACATTTAGATTGCTTGTCTTCAGAAAACGGACACTTAAAAGAGAGAAAAAAAAAAAAAAAAAAAGAGGAAAGAAAGAAAAGCAGCCTTTCCGTTGCCTCGCCTTGCCTCTCAGCCTCCCAGCAGCGCGGCTCGCTCCGCTTCCCGAACTCGAAGGAATTGGAAGCACCAGCCCTGCCTGCACAGATCCGTTCCGTGCGTTAGTCTCAGCTCCCGGCTCTACATCGCACCGCTCCGCAGCCTCACACGCGCAGCCTTTATGCCATTCCGCCGCTTATTCATCACATTGTATTAATGTTTCCATCAGACGCTCTACCTGCTACATTCCCTAAGTTTAACTCCTGCAGGCACAGCTGATCGCGGGGGGTTGGGGGGGGGGGGGGGGGGGGGCGGGAGGAAGGGCTCGGAGGAAAAGTTCATTGCCCTCACTGATCCCCGAAGGAGCGAGGATTGGATTGGGGGATGGGGAAGCGTGCTTCAGAAGGGATCGGAAAGTCACACAAGGAATCCCCAAACCCCACTCGCTCTGTCCTGTCGCTTGCGCTGGAAGGTGCCAGCGGCCGGGCTGCGCGCCGGGGGCGGCCGGGGCGGCTGCGGCTGCCAGCACCGCCGGGTTCGGTACAGCCAGGCTGGGGGATGCTGTGAACCGCAGCACCGCCGGATTCGGTACCGCCGGGATAAGGATGCTGTGTTACAGCTTGCCTGGGGGTAGAGAACAGGCTCCGTCTGCACCAAACGTACATATATGTATATATACACACGTCTACCTGCCGCTTTCCGAAGCGAAGGCTGTCCTTTGGATCAAGTAAGGACTTCTTTACTTCGAAATAAAAATTCAGAATAGGACCAAAGGGGAATAAATAGTTGTTGTTAAAAAAAGGATGAGTGCCGTTATAGTGCTATTTGCGGCTGATGCTTCCAACGTTTCTGTGTCTCTAATTAAAGGCAGAGATCCACCCACGTTCAATAACAGAAGGTAGGGAGGGAACATGTTAGTTCTCACGAGGAGGTATTGACCGAGCTCCATTTAATTCTGTCATTTAGCGTGCACGGTGTGTGTGTGTGTGTGTGTGTGTGTGCGCAGTCATGTCTCCACAGCAGTACGTGCACAGACCGCAAGGACGGTGCTCAGGGCTTGCGAGCAGGTGGAGGTGCCAGTGAGAAAGACACGAGATCTGAATTTATTGCCTGGTGGCAAGCAGAGAACCGAAAAGATCAATGCCCTCTTCAATACCATGCTCCCGAGATTTGTTTCCCTCCCCTCCTCCCCCCGCCTCCAAATTGTGGCTGATGTCGGGAAGGGGGAAAGGGGAGTAGAAGAAAACGCTTCAGGCGTGGGATTCAAAATCCATCCTTCTTCCAGTTCCTCTCTTCTACCGGCTGCTGGACAGCCCCCCCACGCCCCGGCTCCAACCCTCCCCATACTCTGTTCCCCCTCCGAGTTTCCCGTTGCTGTCAGTGCCCCCTTGCCCCCCTGCCCCGGTCCCTCGCACCAGGCTGGGGTCATTAACCAAACCATGGGCTCTTCTCTTGAATCTGCTGCTGCGGGGATCCCCCCGCACCATGCTCCTCAAGGAAAGTTTCTTGCGTTCAGATCTCCTTCCTTTCCTAGGTATAGAGGATTACCTAGGTAAGTGCATTTCCAAAGCTCTACCCAATTTGTCACCCTTCTTTTGGTTCTTTATTTTTCTCTCTGTATTAAGAACTAGCAGGAAATCCTGGGGGTTAACTCTGTAGGAATAACCCGCCCGGTGAGCAGCACCTCGGCACTCCTGTCAAACGGTAGCGCGCTGCAGAAGAGATTGATGTGCCCATCAGCAGAACGCTGCCCGCGGTTTGGAGCACTCCGCACTCCCTCTGTGCCGGCAGTGGTGGGAGATGGCAGGGCAGGGAATGCGGGCAGCGGAGTAGTTCAGATCGCGGTCACGGAGATGGATGGCAGCGGTGCCTGGGCAGTTCACGGGCAGAGTGGTGGTTCGGCAGACGGGGAGGGGAGCAACAAGCCCTTTGAGTACAAACATCGAATAAATCAATGCAATTAATGTAGTCTTAATGGGTAATAGTATGCGGCGAGAGTGAGGCATGCTTAACAGGGAAGATTCCCATTAGTATCGGTGGTTCATTTCCAGCGTTCCACGCTTCCAGACCAGAGGATCCCCACTGCTCACACAGGGCTGGATGACTCGGAGAAAAAATGGGAATGCCAGGGAGCAGCCCGGCGGTTTTTGGCTTCTGTTCGGTTGATTCTTTTGCTTTTTGTACAAAGGAGGGGCAGCGGGTAAATACCTCCAGAGCCTCACACCTCACTCCTAGGGGAATGGTCAGCAATAGCCTTCTTCCCTTCTTTCTCTCTGCTTGTTTGTGACTGGCCTCGCTGTCAGGGATTGCTGTCACCTCCTCTGTCACCTTCAGACTCTCTGAAGCTGTGAGGCTTCGGGACTCCTCGGTCAGGAGCTAATTTTCCAATTCCAAATATTGGCAGTGGCAGGCGGACACCTGGGAGGGGGCTCGGAGGGAGGACACTCCTTTAAAGACGCATGTCGGCAGCCAGCCTGCCCGTTCCTCTGCCTGGACGTAACCCCGCTCCGTTCCTCCGAATTGCTCTTAGCCCTCTCGGGGGAGGAAGCAGTGGGGAGGGGGAAGGGGGGGGGGGGGGGGGGGTGGCAAGCCAAATCCCGCAGCTGCAGGAGGAGCCCCGGACAGGGCGAGCTCCCGCAGCCGACTGTCGGACCCAGGCTGCTGGAATCCCCACCTCTCCTTATCCTCCACGGGAGAAGGAAGTTCCCTGCGCCCACCGCCCGCCCCTTCGGAAGGGAAGAGGAAAACGAACCCCCCGAGGACGGGGTGTGTGCCCCGCCCGGCTGGGCGGACTTGACAAGGGAGCCGGAGAGCTCGGGCTGAAAGAGTTAATCGGGGCTGCAGGGTGCTCCAGGCGTGAGTCCTGAGAGCGCCTCATAGGCGCACCAGCCAATCCCAGGCACCAGGAGCATGAACCGTATGTAGCACAGTGTAAAAAGCGAGGTAAAGAAAATAGGGTGTAAACTGTAACCATATACTGGAAGGCAGGAGACCTGATTTTTGGGGGCTACGATTCCTGTGCTGCTTAGCGATCGGCATGCATGTACAAAGGTAAGGGCTTTGTTACCAGCAATCTGTATTGTGGCTCACTGCTGGATTCAAGTGCATTTTCTGCATACGTTTCATTAAGTGTTAAATCGTACGGTGCAGAATGGGAAGAAGTGGAATATGCTGTAGTTTACTGTTTGAGATTATTATTATTTTGAAAGACTACATTTGTTTCAAGTGGCAGTAATTTCTTTTAGAGGTTAAGGAAGTGTATGCGTGTGAAGCAAAGTAGATCTGTGACTGGCAAAAAATGTAATGCATGTGATAAGTGAAGAATGTTCTGTGATGATGCATCGGAATCAGTCATGGACCCACATCATATGAAGGCCAACATGAGATAGACCTGATTTGGAAAAAAAATATATTAAAAATAAATAAAGGGGTAATTCAGAGACATGTATGTGACAAGCAAGTCTGACAGCAGAAACTAAAATAACTTATTTGCTGACATCTAACAATATTTAAATATGGCATCACAAAAGAATGCTATAAAAAGTGAAATCAAAATCTTACAGTGTGTATTTCCAGAGACAGGTGGCTCTGACACGTTAAGTATAAGGAGATAAAGCTGGAGTGGCCCTACTTGCATTTACAAGGTGAAAGGCATAACTTAGAGGAGCAATCCATTTAGCTCTCAGTTTACAGACTGCTGTCAGCGCCCAACAAGAGCAGAGCTTGCGGTTACTCATTTTACATGTGCTCTATCAGCTGTACCTTAAGACCTGGCTTTGAGAACAGAAATGTTTCATGCGTATATCCTCTCTGCATCTAAGCATGGCAAAGAGCTGTAGTCTGAGACACTGTTGCTGTGCCAGTTATCAGAGTTATGTAAAGAAACTACCTTCAGTGTCTTGCCCTGAACCATTTTTTCTCTGTAAGTCATGTACATAATTTAAGCAGAGCAAAAGGAAAACCAAAGGAAAGGATGTGTTACATTTTCAGTAAGCTGATCCACCTCCAGTGAAAGCTCAGCTCCCCAGCAGATGCCGAGTTCACCAGAGTTGCTGTGTTTGGGGTGTTTGTTCACGAGATAACGAAGCACTGTGAGGGAAAACGTTAACTAGGAAATGTGAAAACAAGCAGCTGAATGTTTTACAGATCTTACTGCAGAAGGCAGCATTTGTTCAACAAGCCAAGAAAACAACTTGAGGATCTTCAAGTGATGTAATCACCCTGTCTCATCTTTTCCCATTTTTTTCTACTACTGTCTGAACACTGTTGTGAAGAATTAATTACAGGAGCCTACTCATTGTTTACATCAGTGTGTGTCTGAAAAGTTAGTTCTCTACTCATACAGATCACAGTGATTTTGCTCCTGTCAGTCTCAGGCGGAGACAGTGATTTATGGGACTAAAATAGTTTTATTTCATTTGGATTAATTTGGAATTGAGTTTTCGCATCTGACTATGAGCAGTCTCAAAAATGTCCTCCTCGAGGTTTGAACAACAAATGCAACACCTACTTAAAACTAAAGAACACTCTTTTTAGCATCAAGCTTGACTCGTGAGTGGTTTGTGAAAGTCGAAATAGCAAACTGGGAGAACAATTAATTTACATAAGATTTTGCTTAGGAGAAAAAGGGAGTGGTGCAAGACATTAGATGTACTTTCTAGAAGCATTAAGTCTTTTATAGATGTCACGTGCAGCTCCTTATTCCTCCCAAAGGTTCGACCCTCTCAAAATCAGAAGTAAAGATTGATTTTTTTGTTTGTTTGTTTGTTTTCTCTCCTGAAATATTGGCAATCTCATTGGTGAGTTAAATCCCTAGAAATATTCTTTGACACAGGGAGCCAAAATACACTCTCGGATAGGCTGCTTTAAAAACAAACTTGTCCTGATAGACTGCTGCAGGCTGTAA